GTAAAAGGACCTAACTCTGAAACTCACAATCAACAGCCATTATAAAAACCTCTGTTTCCAACATGCAATACACAAATACTCAGACTCACTGTTTGCAAGTTTCACTAAAAACACAAATTGCCAAGAATATTAGCACAGTAACTCATGCGTACCATAGAAAGGTTGTTCATATCCTTTGGGACGAAATACTCAACTTATATTCTTCAGATCTTGCCGAAACTTTCGTTTGCAGTTTGATTTTTGCACCGGATGAACTTGATTTCAAGATTTCAAAGAAACCATTTCTCAGTCTCTCTCAGTCTTAGTCGAAAACTCATAATGGTTGAGTTGCCAATTTTTTTTCCTTTTTTTTGTTCGATTTCTTTGTCCAAGCCTTGGTTATTGGAACGATAGCCTTGGAAGGCTTATATTTCTCATATATCAAAGTACATGTTGTAATTCTTAGACAAAATAATGCAATTTTCTTTTAAATTAATGTCTAACAAAACTTTTCTGGAATGCTTTCTACAATAGCTTGCATCCATTGCTCTATAGTTAATCCCAAGCGGCTATCTGGTCTTGTGGGCTTTGGCCATCTTTTTCTTTCTTTTCTTTAAAGCCTTTGGCACTTTAGTTTTCCGAGCTTCCCTCTTCTCTTCTTTGACTTTCTTCTTGTTCTCTTTTCTAGCAGCTTTCTTATCAAGAGGATCTTGTGCCTTGGTCTCGGATGAGGAACTCCGGCCTTCCGAGTCACTTGAGTCTTCGTCATCCCCATCGGAGTCAGATTCAGTCTCAGGATTTTCAGAATGACCAACTGGATCGACAGAGGACTTTGCTACAGCATTAGCATCCTGTTGCTGCTCTTTCTCAGATGGAGCTGATTGGCATTCAGGCAGAGCCTGCTTCAGTCCTGTAATAGTTTTATAGTACATGTCTCCAGTGTCCCCGCCACTAGTTAACCGTATTACATCCTCCTCAACATTCTTCACGCTGTCTAATCTCTTTGGAATGTACGACTGGAAAGAAGAGAAGAAAAGCAAATGAATATCACAAAATTTTTGGTACCCACAATCCCGCAAATACTAGATGTCAGTCAAAGCAAGTCAATAAACACAGTTACATTGTCATCACCTGCACAAATACAGAGTCTGCAATTTCATCCTCCGCAGTCATATCTCCTCTTGCAATAACTTTTTGTTGTACCTGAAATCAAACACAGTCAAACAGAGATCTTATTAAGTTCTTTAGTTATTTACTTATTTCTTTATGGGAACCTAAGTTCTTTCATATTTGAGACCAAAAAGGAAGGAACCAAACCATATCCAGATAACTGTCCACCGCATCATCAGCAATAGATGTATCAACTATAAAATCAAAGAGCTCTCGAATTGTCATAACAGCTACACCATTCTTTTTAAAGAAATCCTGTGGGCCACAAAATGCTTGATAAGCCTATAGCACTGAATGCATTACTTGTACTTTTCATAAACAACGGAAACAGATCTACAGAAAGTCACTTGGGTACAAAGAACTTACAGATACATGGACACAATCTTCACGTAGGAAATCAAGGGCATGAGGGTGGTCCAGCTCAACTGATTGAGAAACGTCAATAATGTACAAGTGGCCCTGCCAAAGAGGAAGGGAAGACATATTAACATCACATGCTATCGTCTCCAAGGAGTTCAAACTTCAAAGTGGTTTATTGCAACTCACCTCAAAGTAAAGTATGTTGTATTCACTAAGGTCTCCATGCACCAGCTTGGACTTCTGATACATCATTCGCATAGCAATAATCATCTGGCAGAGAATCACTACGACATCACTCCAGTAACAAAAACAATATATCAAATACACAACGTTTTTAAGCCTAAAACAAATTCATATAAAAGGTTTCTCGATAATAATCTATAGACCAGCAAGCAAGAATTCAACATGTTATAAAACTACGCTATTCCCAATGAACACTATTCTGGCTCCTCCAACCTGATCCATCCAAATTATAAAATCACGTGTATACAATTCAGAAACAGATCCAAAAATTTGTCTTCAAGTGGGCTGGACTTCCACAAGGAGCCTCACTAAGACTAGCAACAAATTAAACTACCAGAGAGCCTTCATGGCCGGTTACATCTGTCCCAACAGAACTATCTTAGCCAAAAGGGTCTGTTATTGTAAGTAATTACTATCACAAAAAAATTTGTCACCAAGGATTTGTGTGCACCTCAATATAACCTTCTCGTAGCTTGTCTAGGGATAATGCTGCATCCTTCAGACGAGGTGCTGCCCAACCTGACTTCCCTGTAATAGAATACATGAACCAAGGTTACTCTAACTAGCAAATACTGTTACTGGAAAAAGAAAAAAGAGAAGAAGAAGAAGGTGAAGGTAGATTATGCATGGTCACAACTCACAAGTAAGAAGTTAACAGCCAATCAAGTTGATCTTATCCTCTCATTTTTTATATGAACAAATCAAGTGATATTGCCAATTCTGTCAGAACATATGTTCATTAAAAGTAGGAGAACATACCAATGAATTCCATAACCAGAACATGAAGCTTTAAAGCAACTATAGCCGGGCACCTAATTCCGTCCTCCCTCAGCCTGCATTTTCACAAACCATCTTACATCAATTAGCAGAACAAAACCAGCTTGATAATAAGATTATTGACTCGGGGAATTTTAATTTATTAGGACTTAAACAGAAATTTCATAAGTTCAAGCTAAAAACCGTTGTACATGTATGTACTTGCTAGAGAGAGAGACAGAGAGACAGAGAGGGGGTTGATTACTGATATGCAGATCTGCACTAGGTTGAATTTGTGCTGCTACTGACCAAAGAATTAAAGGTACTCACATTAAAGATGTTGTTAATCATACCTTTTCAGATTCCTCATTTCTTTCTCAGCCCATGTCCTGACCATTTTCCTAGGATTGTTCTTGCAGTATCCATGTCTGAATCGGTAGTCTCCTTGTACATATCTATCTCTATCCCTAAAGGTGTTTGAACGGCAAACAAGTAAGATATATTACAAAGCTATTAATATAAACACATATATGGAAAACCCAGCTTGCAAACTGAATAGTCCTTGAAACTGCAAAACATTTTTTTTCTTCTCTAAAATGCTCTATGATTGCAAGGTCAACTTGCCAATCTTAACTATCCAAGATAAAAAGACAATATTTTGGGAGGAAAATTTAAATAATGTTATAAGAAAAATCACAATAAACATCAATACATAAATGCATGATGAAGCAAAGAAAGTTTAATTTCAGAAGATACGGTAAGCAATGAGCATTATATATTGCTATGCCCAAATGAAATTTCTCATTTTTATAGTGTTTGACATGATAAATGGTCCAAAGTTGCTAAACTGTCAATTTGTCATTGGGATAAGCTAAAAGTGTCACAGAAGACTTACTTAAAAATCAGAATAGATGTTTTGTATATTTTGATCGCCATTTCCTGGCCATCAGATTTTGTTGCGTGATAAACATTTGCCTGTTCAAGAAGAAAGAATAATTCCATGATGAGAACCCACAAGCGCAAAAATCAAGTACCGGTCAAGGGGTTAAAATAATAGTAACGCAACACATACTTCTTTCCCGGTAGAAATGCAGCCATTGATATCATGAAATGTACCACTATTCAACATTTTGAATAAAACCATCCGAGTTCTAGGATCGATGGCCTGGTGAAAACACACAATCAGTGAAACTAATGAGCTAAAATACATGGTTGGAATGATTAAAGAAAACCCATGAATTAAAAAAGTTGTTTTTCACCTGCTCAACAGTGGCACGGTCTGCTTTCTCAGTAGTTCTCTTTCTGCCAATGGCCGTATCTCGAACACTTCCACGAATGGCAGTTGTCACGGAGTTGGACATGCCAACATTCAACCTGCCTTCCCACTCCTACACCGCAAAACCAGCTTCAAAAAATGTAACTTTACAAGCAAATTAACAGTTCTAGGCTGAAAAACTTCAACAATAAGCAGAATTCGAACCAAACAATGTAAAAGCTCATCTCAGCTAAGAAGTTTTGCATTCAATTACCCTACAGCAGCAACAATAAAAGCAATTGAAATTCACTTTTAAATTCTCAAAATTGTACCTCTAAAGGTGAGGCTCGGATGTGGGTAGTGAACTTCGTACCTCTAAAGGTGAGGCTCGGATGTGGGTAGTGAACTTCTGGTTGCGATTAGAGAGAGGCTGAAGGGTTGAGGAGTTAGGGCGAGAATGAAGGCCTCCATGGGCATTGGGACGCCTAGAATTGATTGTGAAACCACCGTCAACTCCTCTGTCATCGTCCCTCGAGTCCAAATAGTCCAATGCATCTCCGACGTCCGAGTCCGATGTCCAAAGTTCCTCATCTTCATCTTCTTCCACTTCTTCTTCTTCCTCTTCTTCTTTTTTCGCTTCGGGAGCCTTCTCTTTCTCTACTATTTCTTCAACAGCAGCCATTTTCGTTTGCTATATTAACTTTTCTGGTAATTTGCAGAGGAGGAAATCAACGGTTTCAAATGATCAAATGGAAAATACTGAAAACAAGTTTTTGAGGGAAGCTTGGAACTGAGTTCAAACTGCGTGAAGCGGCGTAGTCGGAGTTCTGAGGGAGGTTTTGTTCTTTTCAATTTCTGAAGCGGCCAAGCCGCTTGCAATGTAGGGTTTGCGCGCGATGGAAGACGCCACGTAGACGATGCAATTTCTTCTTCTTTTTTCCTTCTATATAAAATTTTAAATTAAAAAAAAATATTTTATTTATCTTACTCCGTTTTTTCCTTTTTCTTTTTTGACAAAACACCGTTCTCTTTTTCATTTTCTTTTGGTCGAATAGAATTTTTTTTTTCTTTCTATTTCTTCTGCCAATGTGCATGGAGCATTCGGCACATGACATCTCAAGAAGATAATTTATCAAACTGTACTTTGTGTATAAATTGAAAATTGTAAAGAGTACATTTTTAACTCAAAAAAAAAAAAATTGGAAAATGTAAGAACACAATTTTTTAAGAGTTTGAATTGCAAGGTGTATAAATTTGAGAATTAAACCAAAAATCCCAGATACTGCAACACTCAGAAAACTGTGTCTTGCAGGTATGGAGATTAGTATTATCCACCTCATGTACACCCTCACTTCAGGGTGCGGCTATAAAGTTAGAAACAACGAAGCTACATATCAATTTCGAAGGGGGCTACAAATAAAAAATATATGATAATTTAAGAATTAAGGGCCTCAAGTTGCTTCCGGAGATCTTCTAGGTCATCAATAGTAGCATCTGCGGCTTCAGTAGGCGATTTTTGGAACTCATCTGCACTGGGAAGCTCTCGAACAAGACCTTCTGGTAGAGCATCTGAGACCAAAAGACAGAAATCAATGAGAAAAGAAGTGACATGCGAGATTTTCCAGTGGAATCCATCTAATTGCTAAGAACTTGAAACATTTGAGGATAAATTACCTGCACTTTTGGCCTCTATCCTATCCGGCTCGCTATCATCAATGACACTGCAAATACAACACAAATCAAGCAATAAAATGCATGTTATTCAGTTTATAACATCATCTCCGACGTCCGAGTCCGATGTCCAAAGTTCCTCATCTTCATCTTCTTCCACTTCTTCTTCTTCCTCTTCTTCTTTTTTCGCTTCGGGAGCCTTCTCTTTCTCTACTATTTCTTCAACAGCAGCCATTTTCGTTTGCTATATTAACTTTTCTGGTAATTTGCAGAGGAGGAAATCAACGGTTTCAAATGATCAAATGGAAAATACTGAAAACAAGTTTTTGAGGGAAGCTTGGAACTGAGTTCAAACTGCGTGAAGCGGCGTAGTCGGAGTTCTGAGGGAGGTTTTGTTCTTTTCAATTTCTGAAGCGGCCAAGCCGCTTGCAATGTAGGGTTTGCGCGCGATGGAAGACGCCACGTAGACGATGCAATTTCTTCTTCTTCTTTTTTCCTTCTATATAAAATTTTAAATTAAAAAAAAATATTTTATTTATCTTACTCCGTTTTTTCCTTTTTCTTTTTTGACAAAACACCGTTCTCTTTTTCATTTTCTTTTGGTCGAATAGAATTTTTTTTTTCTTTCTATTTCTTCTGCCAATGTGCATGGAGCATTCGGCACATGACATCTCAAGAAGATAATTTATCAAACTGTACTTTGTGTATAAATTGAAAATTGTAAAGAGTACATTTTTAACTCACAAAAAAAAATATTGGAAAATGTAAGAACACAATTTTTTAAGAGTTTGAATTGCAAGGTGTATAAATTTGAGAATTAAACCAAAAATCCCAGATACTGCAACACTCAGAAAACTGTGTCTTGCAGGTATGGAGATTAGTATTATCCACCTCATGTACACCCTCACTTCAGGGTGCGGCTATAAAGTTAGAAACAACGAAGCTACATATCAATTTCGAAGGGGGCTACAAATAAAAAATATATGATAATTTAAGAATTAAGGGCCTCAAGTTGCTTCCGGAGATCTTCTAGGTCATCAATAGTAGCATCTGCGGCTTCAGTAGGCGATTTTTGGAACTCATCTGCACTGGGAAGCTCTCGAACAAGACCTTCTGGTAGAGCATCTGAGACCAAAAGACAGAAATCAATGAGAAAAGAAGTGACATGCGAGATTTTCCAGTGGAATCCATCTAATTGCTAAGAACTTGAAACATTTGAGGATAAATTACCTGCACTTTTGGCCTCTATCCTATCCGGCTCGCTATCATCAATGACACTGCAAATACAACACAAATCAAGCAATAAAATGCATGTTATTCAGTTTATAACATGCACGTCATTCTTCTAAAATGCACGTTATTCTTTTTATATGCAAGTGAGAAAATATCCCCAGTGTGCGCAGTTTTTTTTTTAAGGCCTAGGCATTAGTGTAACTGTGTAATTTGAGTACCTTATTTCCCATTCATTATCAAGATGAAGTGGACATTCTGTAACTGATGATGATGCTTCAGCTTCCATCTTTGCTTTAAGTGCAGCATCCCTAGCTGGCTTTACAAGCAAGAATTCTTTCTGCACAGTAGATACGGCCTTCAGCATCAATGCCAAACCAACTAACAGAATGTCTAAAAATCATTAGATCCAGTTTGGGTGCACGAGTGCTAGATCTTTGTTTCTTTACCTGCCGTTCTAGACAAGCAAAATTTGAACACTGAGGGTTTGGCTTCATTTCCATGGTTGGGAAGAAGTCTTTAAGAGAATTATATCCCTGCAATCAAGCACACCAAATTCGGGCTGATCAGCATGCTGCAATGAAGAAGCAATTTAATGCTAAACCTTAACATATTACTAAATCCCTTGAGATGTTCTGCCAAATAAAAGGAGGATGAGAGAATACAACATACGACTTACCAAGTATGGTGAGACGTTTCCGAAGTTCAGCAAGTATTTTAGTGTATTTTGGACTAGAAGTCCAGCAACAACTCCCTAAAAAATCAAATCAAATTTAGTTGCTATACAAATAACATCCATACCAAATCAAATATTGACATATCAATCAACCAACTATAGATTGTCTCCACAGCCTGAATACTACAGAGTAACTAAGCCAAGCATCGTCTTCATTTGAATTCGATGACAATGACAAGTTTTTTTCTTTTCTTTTCTTTCTCTTTTAAATAATAAGTACCAACATCCAGATTCCTGTGGTCACTTTACATGGATTTCAACTAAACTACCAGTAAGACACAAACACTAGCAAGTCTGAATAATAAAATTCCCAGAAAGGGAGAGCCACCAAGAGATTGGGAGAGATATTTTACCATAGTAGTAGGTAAAGATGCAGCACAAACCCCTTCCCGCTTAAGTGTACGTTCATCCACTCCAGATGCTACAACCTAAGAAAGATATATTCAAGAAGAAATAAATATCAATCTTCAAGTCTTCACGTTTCATATTCCTCACTGAGAATCCTCCAACATCATTAAAATTCAAACAAACAAACAAAAAATCATACCAAAGGTGGTGCACATGCAAAACAGGCAGTTTCACCAGGAATCAGCAACTGAATATGGCCTGAAACAGCATCCTCAGACACACCTGAATGTTTATGTTCTTCAAGTGAGTTTCCTTGTAAAGTATACATGTATGGCATATAAAAGAAAAGGTATATGTGTTTTCTATATGACATGCACTAGGCCGTAAATATTGATTGGATAACAACCACAATGATTTTCAGGATATAGCATGTATGCTTCTTTCATAAAGAAAAACTCATGCAGAATAAAGTTGTATGTCTAAAAAATACGGGTATGCTTGACCATATGACTCATACATACATACTACTAATGCACATTCAAACGAATATACGGCTGAGATGCATGCATCTCATCCACCGTGAACTTCAGCCATTTATATCTGATCTGACAAGATGTGTGTCCTTCACTTAGGTCCTGATTAGATCTAATCTCACCCAATCAGCATTTCAATGCATGTAACCCACAGTGTGTCTTTTAATTAATATTACACTTAGGGTAATACAAATGCAGGAAGTATTTTGCTTACCAGACTCCATCCATGTCTGATTCAGTTCATTGCAAGCCTGTATAACAGTCAGAAAAAGAAAAAAAATTACAAAAGTTTTCTTGGAAGCAGAAGAAAGGAAGAGAACATAATTATAACCTCATACCTGATTAACAGCCATTCTTGCTTCATAATTATCAACACAGCTTAACACAAGGTCCACTCCACTACCTTCTTTATTTGGGCGGAATGATTTATCTTTTAAACTGGACATAAAGGTATCAAAACCTTGCACTGTTGTGATGTTCAGTGTATAGCTCTAAGAACAAAGAAATTGTTCAGCATGGTTACAAAATATGGGCAGTAAGATGGAACCATCAAATATATAAGTATCCATACTAGTAGCATTGACATATTATCATTCTTCTATGCCTAGAAAGTGTAGATGGAAAATTCAAGACGAATGAACTTTAACAGTCGTGATCAAGTTAGATAAGAGAAAAATCTTGAGAAATGCTTACCTCAAGCACAACATCGGGATTTATGTCTGAAAGGGTCTGTACAGCAGCATCTGTTTTTGTCATACCGCTCTGAAAAGGAAAACAGATCACATTTGAATGAAAATTTATAAATTGTATAATCATGAAAAACTTGGAAAATAAAATAATGTTTGGTATGTAAAAAAATGGATTAAAGTAACAACACAACAGCAAGAAATAAGAACTTTGGTTCAATCTAAAAGCAGTAGCATCTAATCTTTGAAGCATTAAATGACTTGGTTGAGACAAAACTAGTAAAGAAAAATTTTCAAAAAGAAAGAATGACGGATGAGAATAACAAGCATGAATACCTGCTCTGGTCGAAAGAATAACCTATTCATGTTAGCTAACTCTACTTTGTCATAATCATACAACAAAAGGCGACCAATACCACATCTTGTTAGCATTTCAGCTGCTACACTTCCTACACCGCCTACTCCCTGCAAAAAAAAAACAAAAAAAAACAAATAGGACATCACTACAAGTCAGTGGCAAGAACAAATCTACAATAACAAAAGGAACATTGAAAGAGGAGATAAATACAGACAACAATGGCAACTGAGAAGTCCCGTATTCTTTCATAGTTTTCCACAATACCCATCCTCTGAAGTGCCATAAGCCTACTGTAGGGATTGCTATCTACCACCTCGGCACTCATATCCTGTCAGCATAACATGTAAAATGCATGAACAAACAATCATCACCTAAAAGCATACATAACACAATGAGAATAGAGAAACGACAGAATTACAAAAGAAAAATACCTTCACTTTCGAACGTCGAACAGGTCCAGAACTTGCAAGACTAGTAAGGCGTTCTACACGCAATTGTAGCTACAGATAAAAAAAAATCATTAAGAATTTAAAAAAAAGGTCAGTTCTACAAGAAAAATTTAGAAAGCTTTTACTAAACTTATCAGTATTCCGCTACTTCGAACTTCATTTCCCGATATCAAACAATAATTTGCTTATTTTTCATAAAGAAAACATCAAACTAAGTATATATAATTGAATATCCTAGTTTCTTTATCTTAATTTTCTCAGGCAACAAACACAAGCACCAAAAGAATAAACAAATACAAGCATGCAACAATAAATAACTAAATGAATAAAAACCAATTCCAATTTATGGATTAGGCCAAAATTTTCCGTAGCCTAATAGGCATCGTAAAATAAAAATACTAAAACATAGCAGTACAATAATCAACCATAAATAGAATTCTGAAATTGATCCAATTCAGGCCAAATCAAGTAGTCCGATCAAAGCCAGTAAACTCCAAACTAAAACTCTATTTCTCTGTTAGATCTCAAATAAATCAGAATTGAGACATACCTGATCGATTGGAGCATGATGGGAAGGATCAGTTAGCGATCTCTTCAGAGAATCGAGGTCGTTAAGCATCTCCTTCAGTTCCACCTCCATTGCCTCTCTCTCTCTCTCTCTCTCTCGATCGAAGCCGCAGCTGAATATCTGTGTTTTGATAATTAATTTACGGAAAAGAAAAAAAAGGTTCTTAAATTCGCTTCGCTAGAATCGCTA